CTTTGACCACTACACCGCAGGGTCATGGCATGGTTGGGAGGCTGCCTGTCCCAGGGCCTGCTGTCCTCCTCAGTTCAGTCCCATGAAAGAGGGGTGTTGTGATGCTTTGGATGATGGCTGGATGGCAGGTGAGCGTGGAGCTAGAGGCTTACACAAGATCTGGGCTGCTCTTGGTGTGTCTGGGGTGGTGAGGCTTTCTTTGGTCTCAGCTCATCCACTGGCTCTTGCTTGGAGATGGGAGCAGGGATGGTGCTGAGGTTTGCTTTGTCGGTCTGTCTAGTGAACATGGTCTCGTGCACCTGGTCCTGTGGACAAGGGCAAGATGTTGACCTCTGCTGTGTGCCCTATGGGAAGGAACAGTCTGAAGCCCAACTGGCCAATTGTTATCCTGTGGTAGGATAACAGGATAGGCAGGGTGGCAGAGCATAGAGATGAGATTCTGCCTCCAACCTTGTCCTGATGTGCTCAGTGTCTGCTGGGGTGGCTTTCTCTAGAGGACAGTTGCATGGATCTGAGTGTGCTGGGCTTGCACATTGCTCTGCTTGATCACTGAGCTTGAGCTTACTTGGCCACATGCTGTGGTTGCTGGAAACTCAAGGGCCCAGTAGGGCAGGCTTACCCATGCAGAGGATCTCCAGCCCTGCTGCTTAGCCCAGAAGAGGCTATGGAAGTGTTGCATCTCCTAGTTTGGAATGGTACGTTCCCTCCTGTGCTGCCAAGGATGTGGTGATGGGTTCTTGCATTAGTGTGGGGTCAGGTCTTGCTATGTGGCTGTGTGTCAGAAGCTGATGGCCTGGAGATGTGTGTCCCTCCCATCTGCTTTTCAGGACAGGAGGCCAGTGTCTGTCTGAAAGTGTGACTCTCCTGGGTCACCTATAGCAGTGGCTTGATGTGCAGAACAAGCTATGGACTGGGAGAGAGCACCCAGCTCCTCTGGAAGGTACTGGAGGAGGGAAGGAAGCTTCACCTTCTGGGATCTCCTTGGCCACAGCAGGATGCCAGTGGGGAACTGGCTGGGACACAACCTGTTTCTAGTGGTGGCCCTAAAGCTTGGGCTGTGTGCTGTATCCATTCTTGCTGTGTGCTCTGCCCTGCTCCCCAGGCTCTCCTGGGCTGGTGGGCTCACCTCTGCCTTGCTCTCTATATTGTACAGGCTGGGTTCCTACTTGGGGTCTGGTGGGGAGAGTGGTGCAGAGGGAGATCAGGGCATGATGCTGGTTAGGGTTGGCTTTTCTGATCCGTTTTTGGGTGGCACAGCCCCTCCCCACTGCCTCATGGCCCTGACTTGCCGAGAGCTGGGCTGATGCAATGGCGGCTCAGTCCTGTGGATGCCTGGTGTCCTACTGGTGTCCCCCAAGGTCTCCCTGTGATCGGGGTGAGATTCCAATAACCATTGTCAACAGTGGAGAGCAGCTGTAACCTTTCAGCTCGCTGTCACTTGGGTTTTGTGGAAGACTGGCTTGGTGTTGGGCTGTGGAGATGCCAGGCATGCGCCGTCGGGCTGTGGCATGCCCAGCGGTGTCCTGCCCCAAATCAAGTTGATCTGAGGAGAGATTCATATGCTTCTGTGGACGTGTCCTGGCTCTGTGGGCAGAGGAGGTGGTGGCATAGGACTGAAGAGTGCCCAGGGATCACCTTGTGGTGGGGCAAAGCAGAGACAGATGTAGCTGCTTAAGGACCAGAGGTGAGAATGTACTCATGAGGGTCCTCAGGAGCATCCAAGCCAATGTCTTCTGCTGAGGGCGGAGACTGGCATCCTCCGTGTCTCCTGCCAGGAGAACAAATGCTGGGGTGTGGGCAGGAGGGGCTGGGCTGCAGCAGGCTTCCCCAGTGTGAGGGCTGTCCCTGGGGGTAAGGTCCATGGCTTCATCTGATGGTGCAAGATGTCTGTAGGTTCTCCGAGCATCAGAGAGCGGCAGATGTGCTGCGGGGTCCCTGGAGCCAGAGGCTCAGTGCCGTGGGCTGGGTAGCACAAGCATGGATGTGAGCGTCCTTCAGCACGTTGGCTATGATACACACAAGTGTCTCCTCCAGCTGAGCAGACCTCTCAGCAAGGTGGAAGAGCGATCAGGATGCTCAGCTAGCAGCTCCCTGAGCTGGGGAACTGCCCTGTTGGGACAATAATCTCTCTTGGAGTTGTGGGGCTGGTGTCCCCAGATGTTTCAACAGCTGTTGAACCCCCACCATGGCCTAAGCCCCCCTGGGTACCATCCTTTCCATGAGATCCAGCAGAGACCCAGGGGATGAGACTTGGTAGTGGGGAGTCTCCATTGTGGAGCTTCCTCTGCTGGGGCCATGGACTATTCTTGGGTGCTGCCCCGTTGTGCCCGAACTTATCGGCTTCCATGTGCTTCCTGCTCCTCCGGGCAGGGGTTTAGTGCCTCTCCCTGCTTCCCCCGCGCTCCACCGCCTTCCTGCCCTGACCACAGCGGCAGCTGAGCCCCGTTGTCATCCCCCTGCTTGACACGGGGGAAGAGCGATGCTGGGGAGGGGCTGGTCCAGCTATGAGCAGCGTCATGCTCGTCGCCCCGGCCGTAGCGGCCGGAACGCTTGGGCTTGTTGTGGTCAACCTGCCTTCCTCCCCTCCGGGCCACGATGTTGGTCCTTGGGCGCCGTAGGTGCAAAAGGCTGATTTCGGAGGGAAGCTGGAAGCTCTCCTTGTTTCAAGTGCTGGGGGAGGTTCAAGACCCTCTTTCCCCTCTGGGGATGGGTGAACATCTTTCTGGCGTAGGGGGGGATGCCCTGCGACTGCTCGGGGCTTCCTGGCTGGAGCAGCTCCTGGCCTGATCCTGCACTGGGGCTCAGTGCTACCCTACCTGCCGGCCCCATGAGCCACCTGAGGACATCGGAGCTCTGCCGGTGCTGGAATTGCGAGCAGGCAGCCAACACTTGCAGCCTCTCTGCTGTCAAGCCCTGCTGGTGGGAGGGAAACTGAGGCACATTAGCAAGCCCCTTCCCCTTGGGAGGCATGCTCCATGGTGTTGAGGCTCTCCTGCTTTCCTGCCAAGCTGTCCCTACCACAGACCAGCCATCTCTCCCCTCTGTGTTTCACAGAATGGTTTGGGTTGGAAGAGACCTCAAAGATCATCTAGTTCCAGCCCCTCTGCCATGGGGTTTTCCTGGGAGTTTGATGTGCTGAGGAGCAAAACTGCCCAGGGCTGGGTCCACCTGCTGCAGTGCAGGAACCTCACAGCCCCACATCCCGTATGGGGCAGCGAGATGAGGGTGTCGTCCCATTTTTTAAGCCTTACGCCCGGGTTCCCGAGTGTTTCCCTCCCTGCAGCCCTGTTTTGCAAGCTCTCCTCCCTGCGTTTCGCTGCCGTGCCTTATAAGTCCTGACTCCTGGGGCAGCCGGCAGCCTCGCTGCATTCCTGTGGCCTCGCGTCAAGTGGCCCTGGCTGCGTCGTGGTGGCCAGGGCTGGGGCTCTGCATCCCACCCCTGGGGCTCTGCTGGTTGCCCCAGGTGTCTGAGTGGCATCCCACTGGGATGCTCTCCCATGGGAAGAGGTGGAGCCCATATGCCTGAGCTGCTGAGACCACAGGGGTGGCTGCCTGGAGCGGGGACTGCCTTTGGATGCTGTGGCAGAGCTCGTCCCTGCCCTCAGCAGGATGGCACGGGGCTCCCTTCTGCTGGTGGCATGGGAAGAAGGCTCAGTGGACGTGTTGGTGTGAATGCGTGGGAGATGGCTTGTCTCCAGAAAAAAAAATGGCATGTAGCTGGGGGTGGCTTCCTGGAGAGGAGAGGACATCCAGCAGCACTGTGCGGATGAAGCGCTGGAGCATGTTCCTGCTGTAGCTGTCCTCAGATGTCTCCTAGCCACTGGTGGTACAGGCTTGCGTGCCGCAGGCGCTGGAAGCGTGGCCTCAGGACCAGGTCAGTGTTGGGGGGCTGGAGTGGCCACAGCTGTGCCAAAGCTGGGCTGTGGGTGATGCAGCTAAAAGACTGATCTTTCAGAAGAGGAGGGTCAGCCTCAGTGGCTTCTGGGAGGATTCGGAGCAGCCTTTTAACAAAAGCCCAGTGCTGGAGACCTACCAGAGCAGCCTTGCTGGAGGTGGGTACTTGTGCCTTTGCTTCTGATGTTTCTGACACAACTTGACCCTTGCTGGGCTGCAGGACAGTGTCTGACTGTGCTCGAGACTCCCTTTCACGAGGTCTTGTTCAAAAGCAGACATGGCCAGGAGATGTGGGTGTTGTCAGACCCCTGCTGACCTCCTGGCAGTGTTGGAGCTGTGGTAGAAAGAGGCAGGTGTTGCTGCTTGACTTCTTTAAAGCCTTGGTGCTGGATCCTGGCTGTGCCCCCACGAGGTGTGTGTCTGTCCTGGGAGACACAGCTGTGTAAGGGCTGCTTCAGAGCTATCGAGGACTTGAGCCCTAAATGGGTTTGTCCTTGTCCCTCCCCCCTCCTGCGTGGGAAGCTGTGCTGGGACCCTCCCTCTCTGAGAGATGGCCTAGATGGTCTTGTCCCTCCTGGCACCAATCCTGTTTTCCATGGCTCTCCTCCATCTCCGCTGAGTGTTTGGATGGGGGACATCCCCAGAGGGGGCAGGGACAGGGAAGGAAAAGCGTTTTCTGCAGGGCCTGCAGCAGGATGACGCCGTGGGGCTGTCCTTGGCAACAACCAATCACTGCCCCGCTTCTCTCCATGCATGTGTGTCCGGTTGGGATCAGTCGTCCTGGGTGAGATGGGGTGGTTCTCACCTGGTACCTCGAGTGGCTGGTAGCAGAGTCTAAGAGCAAGCATGAGGACAAGGTATTGCTGGAGACCTGCTTCTGCTGTATCTTCTCTGTGCTCCTGTGGCTTTTCCAGCTGCTCTGTGAGGAGGCTGATTGTCTACATGGATCTGGTGTTTGGTGGCCGGGGATTGAAGCAGGGCAAGACTGTTTCAGCAGAAGCCTACTCTGTCTTAATGTGTTGAGGGCAAGGGCTGGAAGCCTGGATTCATTGGCTCTGGGTGGTCCTACTGGCCTCTCAAAGCCTGCAGGACTTGGGTGACTGGAGAGTCCCACTTCAGTTAATCTGCTGGAAGATGCTTGTCCAGACCCTGCTGCCCTCATCTACGGGTTCCGCTCTTTGGGAGCAGGCAGAGGAGGCTGGACCAGGGCTGCCCACAAGATGCTCAGACTGTCAAGTTGCCTCCTGCTTTTCTCTTGTGGGATAACCCCGATCTCCTCAGCTTTCTGGTTGCTGCAAATCCCGTGTTTACACCAGATCTCAGAAGCGATCTCCCTCTGGCTTAACTCGTGCTGTCCCTCAAACGGATTGCTTGGGTGTCTCACCAGCCTCACCCTCTCTTCCCTAAATAACTCGGTCTCGCTTTCCCCTTATCCTTTTCTAGATCACTTATGGATGTGCTGAATTGCAGAGATCTGGGAAAACGAGCCACTTGGCCTCGTTGCTGCTCCTAACGAGCCGTTCTGAGCAGGGACCTTGGTTGGTCTGTCTTGAGATCCTTTGGGGAGCCTTGTTTGACGATCTCAGCTGGTGGCATTTGGGATTGCTCAGGCTTTCTTTGGGGTGATGCCAGCCCTCGGTGCGTGCTGTGGGTTGGCTGGGATCGCTTTTCCAGTGCTGTGTATGGGAACAGACTGGACTTGGAGGCCAAGGAAAGCTTTTGGTCTGCAAGAGAAGGTCTCCTGTTCCCATCCTTGGCAGCAACTTATGGGGCTGACATTAGGAGCTTGTTACTTCTGACAAAGAGCTTTCCTGGGCACCTGCGTTCCTCCGTCCAGGCTGTTGTAAGAGCTCTGAGTAGCTGACTTCCCCTTCCCCGAGCAACCGCGCGTCTTCCATTCTGTCACGCCTGTCGCAAGGACTTACCAAGCAACACATCACGGGACCATTTAGAGACCCAACAGGGATGCAGATTTCTATCTGCTTGGAAGAAACATCCATTCTGGGGTCTGAGCACGCTCAGATCCTGAAATATTGAAAAGGGATGATGCTCTCACATGGCTGAGGCACATGTGTGTGCCACCACACTGCGCAGTCCTCCACTGCAAGCGATGGCCACGCGTCTTCTGGGAATGCGCTGCAGGCACTCCGCATAGCTCATGCTGAAGTGCAAGTGCCAAAGTCTTCGAGGCCGCCAGCAAGCCAAGAGACGGTGCTGTTGCCCGCTCTTTCTGGGCATGAGGTGGCCCTGGAGTGATGCATCAAATGAGGGGCTGGGCTGAGTGGAGAGGACGTAGGGACTGAGCTTGGGCATGGGAAGTGTTTCTGGAGTGCTCCAGATAGCATCCTGCTTCCCTAGGCAGGGCAAAGCAAAAGCAGAGGTGTGTGGTAGGGCCACCCGTACTGAGGGGTCAGGAGAGGGGACAGGAAGGATGCCAGCGTTGGAGGGAAGGATGCTCAGTGGTTGCATCCTGCAGCAGTCTTGAGATGTTCCAGGCTGGAGAAAGACTTTACACACTAATATGTGTGTCTTAGCACGCATGGAGAGCAAGAGAGGCAGAGGACCCCAAGACTTTCATGATCGTTGCTCATCCTGGAAGGTTTAAGCTGTCCCCTGAGTTGATGTGAAGATATCTCTGTCCTGGCAGAGCTCTCCTGGGCACAGGAGCTCAAGGAGGTGTGTGTTTTCTCCTGTAAATAGGAGAAACTTCTCTGCTTGGGGGAGTCTGAACCTGGCTGTCCCCAAAGAGGTACAGGGTGCAGAGCCTCTGCTGCATGGCCTTGTGTTTTCAGGTGGCCACTGTCTCCAGCCCAGGAGTGGGGCAAGTGTGTGCTGCTTGCTTTGGTGGCCAAAGAGGTTTAATGAGGTGTCAGATACAGCCCACTTTGTCTGGGGGAGGGGAAATGGCTGAGCAAAAATGTGGGAGCAGAGTCCTTCTGTCCAGTGAAGGTAATGGGTCACTCCAGACTGGAGGTGGGCCAGGAGATGGGCTCTGGCTTAGGGCTCCTGGTCCTGCTGCATGTCTTGCAGCTCAAAAGCATCTGACACTGTTTGGGGGCCGTTTGGGCATCAGTGCTGTCCCATGACCTTCTTGGGGCTTGTCTGGGGCGGGCTTGGTGGGTGACATCTCTACGCAATGAAAAGTGAGGAACACGGAGCTCCAGCTCATTCCCATAGTCTTCTGTCTTCCCTTGCCTATCTGTCAGTGCTGGTTGAGCTGTCCTTGTGGTCCTCTGGTCCTTGTCAATGATGACTTGTGTCTCGGTGACCTCTGTCCTGCATAACTTCCCTTTTCAGCTCTGTGCTGATTTACAAGAAGTCTCAACAGCTTTGTCGTGATGCTTCCTATGGAAATAGGCTGCTGGCCAATGTCTCCCAGAGCAGGGAGAAGGTGGCCATGATGGTCTGACAGTTGAGCAGAGTTCTCCCAGGCCATGAGCCTTCAGCACTGTTTCTTCTTCCTGGCTATTCATGTGAACTATTGTAGATAATTTCAACAGACTATCTATTGAAATCTTCCTCTGGTACTCTTGGTACATGGTGGACTTGGTACATGACTTCTACAGCTTGGAAAGAGCAGGGGCCTATGTGGACTTGGTGCAGCGCAGCTGGCTTTCAGCTGATGGCAATGGAACAAATGCTGTAGGAGCTGGTTTGGTAGCAGCTTCTGAAGGGTCTGATGTGTGTTGGTGAAGGAGCTGGGGCGGACCCAAAAATCGTCTTCCCAGTGATGTTCTGGGGCTTTTGCAGAGGTCAGAAGATGCGAGTGTAGCAGTGAGGTGTTTTTCAGAATTGAGGGCTGCCTGAATCGGTAGCTGAAGTGCCAGGGTAGGCTGAGGAAACGAGGTCTAATGTATGATCGGTAGAAAGAGCTAGAGAGAAGACTGGCGTTTGTACTGGTCTTTTCTGGACCTTTGGTATGTGTCAAACTCTTGTGTAAGTGCTTTTGGCAGCATATGGTCTTCTAGAAGTCTTCTCAAGTTTTAGTCATTAAGGTCCAGTCAGACTGTGGGGCTGGTGTCCAAGCCCTAATCAGTCCAGACTGTTCTGAGACTGAGTTTTGGTGAAGATCTGAATCCTTTGCAGCAGGGAGGAAAGGACTGGGTGTAGTTATTATTCCGGACAATGCTCCTCTGATGTAGGGAAGCGTTAGTACCTTTGGTGCAAGGTGTCCTACTCTTACTGCACCCAGCTTCTGAACTGCACTCTGCACCCCTGCTTTGGTGCTAAGCATCTCCTTTCAGTAGACCTCGTTGACCTCTCTCCTAGGTACGGACGCTGTTTGTCAGTGGCCTTCCTGTGGATATCAAGCCCCGAGAGCTCTACCTACTCTTCCGACCGTTCAAGGTAAGAAAGTCTTCAGACTTGGTCTTTGGTGGGAAAGATGCTGTCTTGTGGCCAACCTTGCAGCAAAGATCTCTGTCAGAGGGAAGTAAGGATGAAGTGGGAAGGCAGGTCCTCTGTGAAAGCTTGAGGAACCTGAGACAAACCCAGAATGGTATCCCATGGCTTGCACTCAGCTGGGTAACCCCTGGAGCTTGATGAAGGCTGCTTGATCAGCCCTGCAGCCCAGCTGGACCAGCCTTTCCTTGAGGATGTGACCTGGTCCCCTAACTGTCCATCCTTCACTATGTCACCACATGGGCTGTCCTTGGGGGAAGTGGGCTTCCCTTGTTTGCACTCTTCCAGCACAGGGTGCTCTGTAGGCACTAGCCAGGCAGGGTGCTCATCTTAGTAGCTTGAGGAAGAGCTGGAAAATGGGATTTCTTCCCAAAGGGCTAGCTGAGATCTGCTCTGCCCTTAGACCAATCTCAGTCTTCTCCTTTGGTGGGAAGGAGACATGTTAATGTACCAACTGCTGCAAACCCTGTCCTGCAAAGGGTTTGGTGCTGCAGTAACTCCGGGAGCTGTCATGCCGTGTCTTGGTTGTAGCTTGACTCCTTCAGGAACCTGATGCTGACTTGCTTTCTTCCCTTCTCCAGGGTTATGAAGGGTCACTGATCAAGCTAACTTCAAAGCAGGTACCTCCTTCTTCCAGTGCTTGGGTATTTTTGGCTTTTTGCTAGAAAACCAGACGTGCTGGGGGGGAAGGGGAGGAGGCACAGACGCCATTTCACTGCGCAAAGCATTGTCTGTATTCAGTGCTATATATACAGCTGGGTTCTGCTCATGCCCACCATCTTGGTGGCCCCAACCTCTCAGCAGGTGTTGAATGGCTCCGTGTCTTCTATTGCTGCCCAGGACCATGTGGGCTGGGGGAGACCTGGTGCTTTAGTCTCAAACCCTGTGCTGTCAGAAACCTTCCCCAGACTCATCCTAATCAAGGCAGGGCAAGGGGTACCCTTGCTGGGGGCTACTAGGGTAAGAAGTGCCTCCACACGTAGGAATACCAAAGCATTTTGGTGTGGTGAGAGCAGACATGGAGCAGGAATCTTGGGATGGTGACTTCAAGCTTTGCTTGAAGGCCCTCTGCAGCTTGAGATGGTTTCTTCTGCTTGCTGTAGACTGTCTGGGGCAGAGCGGGTGGTGGGGCAGAGCGGGTGGCAGGGCAGCCTGAGGAGCTGGAAGAGGCTTCCAAACTGAAATGAGCATTATTTCTTTTAGCCAGTTGGTTTTGTGACCTTTGACAGCCGGGCTGGCGCTGAAGCAGCAAAGAACGCCTTGAACGTGAGTACCTGATGTGCCGGGAGGCCCCAGGGAGAGCTGGGAGCCGTGTGCCCTGCCGCAGCTTGACCTGGAGCTGTGGGCTGGAGTGACGCTTGGCTTGTCCACAGCATAGCAAGGGTCAGGGTGTCTCAGCTGTGCCCTCGGGTGTGGAAGCTAAATGGTCCTGCAGCATCCCACCATGGAAGCTGGAGAGCTGTTTAAGGCTGACATCAGCCTGAGCAAACGGATGCAAAAAGGTGTCGTTTCTGACCACTGGAAGATCGCTCTAGGGCCTCTGAGGGTGTTGAGAAAGAACAGCTACTTCTTTTCTGGAGCTGGCATGTACCTCCTTACTCACAGTTGGCCTCTGATAACAAGATCCAGGCTGTGAATCCTGTTCCTTATCCATTAAGCGCTCCCCCTGTATGAGCAGGAGTGGTGGACTCAGAGGACTCCCTTGTTCGTTACCGGTGAGTGTCGAGGTGTGGCCAGAGCTACTCTGCAAGGAGCTTTTTCCTCCTGCTGCCTGCACCGAGTGCCGAGGTGAGGGCTCATCCTAGCCTGACTGCTTGACTTGACCTTGGCTTGGAGCACCTGAAGCAGGCAGGTCTTCTCTGGGGAACCAACCCTTAGCAAACAGCAAGGTCTTGCTTGGTGCTAGTGGTCTTGTTTAAAGCCTCGCTTTACCAAATTCCCTGATGGAAAAAAAGTGTGTGGCAGTTCAGCAGAGCAGGTCCTTGTCCTGGACTCTGGTCTGCCAGGACTTCTGTAGCCAGAAGGCACCCGCTTCATCAGAAAGGAAGGAAACCAGCCTTCCCATGCTGCTGTTTCCGTGGGAGGACACGAGGCAGGGTCAAAGCTGTTTGGTACAGGCTCTTCAGCACATTGACAGCACTTCCAAACTGCTGCAGCTCAAGAAAGACATGAAGATGGTCAACATGGCAGGCACGGTCCAACACTATCTCCATCCCATGTGGTCCTGCAGAAGTTAGTGGGATCTAGGCTGCTGATCTGGTCTGATGCTGATAGTGTCTCTGCCCAGGCTGGCAGTAGATGTAGGAGCTCCAGTATAGCTGGGGTTATCCCAGCTCCAGCAGACAGGTTTTTTCCTGACCAGTGCTGGTAACTATCACTGCTCTGCTGGTTGGTGAACTGCACATGAGGAGCAAAGCCGTGTCCCTCGTGCTGGAAGCAGTGGCCCTAGGTCAGCTAAACATCGAAATACAAGTGTGTGGGAGCTGGAGTGTTGCAGTGAGGTGACAAAAAACCCCTGGGCTATGTGACTGCAGCGTGATGGCCTTGGTTGCCTCGTTGGGCTTTCCTCCATGAATAGACACAGCCTGTGCTTAGACTGGAGACTTCACCTCTGAGACATTCCTGTGTTTCCTTCTGTGACAGGGCATCCGCTTCGACCCAGAGAACCCCCAGACCTTGCGGTTAGAGTTTGCTAAAGCCAACACAAAGATGGCCAAGAGCAAGCTGATGGCCACGCCAAACCCCACCAATATCCACCCCGCCTTGGGCGCACACTTCATTGCACGGGACCCCTGTGAGTATGCTGGGAGGCAGTTTGAGGTCATGGCCGGTCTGGCCTGGGAGATGCCCAACGCTGGGAGTGTTGCCAAGATGGGAAGGAAACCATGTGTGCTCTGGCTGAAATCTGCCTGCTGCAGGAGGGCCGGCGCGTTAGGGTTGCTGGAGAATAACAGACTTCTGGCCAACACTAGAGATGTTGGGAGAGCAGAGCTGGTTTTGGTAGCTCGAGTGATACTAGCAGCCCTTTAAACCATCCGTGAGTGTGAAGCAGAAAGGACCATGTGCCCTCAGCATGGCCTGGTGGGGCGAGCAGCCCTACTGAGGCTTGCCAGGCAGCCTGGAGTGCGGTGCTGAGAGCCTGTCTTCTGTCCTGCCATCCTGTGGCACCAGCCCTGTGCTGTGTGCCAGAACCAGCCTGCCCAAAGCTCGTGCGGGGTGCTGAGCAGTGATGGAGCATGCTCCTGGCAAGGCTGGCAGGCCAGAGGAGCAGCTGACCACAGAGATGCTGCGGGTGCTGTATCTTAAACCTCGCTGGGACGGCACTGCAAAGCTTTAGTGTGGGGCTGGAGATCCTGTCCCTGAAGCAGGCTGTTGGGGCCAGCTACTGAGACTCTGTTCCCTTGTCTCCTCCTGTCCAGATGACCTGACTGGAGCGGCTCTGATTCCAGCGTCCCCGGAAGCGTGGGCTCCCTACCCACTCTACACCACGGAGCTCACCCCTGCCATCCCCCATGCCGCCTTCACGTACCCGGCGGCTGCCGCCGCGGCCGCCGCCCTTCTTTTTCCCCGCGTCCCGTGCCCGGAGCCGGACTCTCCTCGCTCCCGCTGCCCCCGGTGCTCGCTCCCCCGGGTCTCTGCTTGGCTGGTTCAACCCTTGGCTCCTGGGCAAAGCCCCCTCCCGGCTGGAGCGCGTGGGAGGCCCCCCCAGCCCTGGGCGAACCGCGGGGGAGAGGTCTACGTGGCCCAGTGCGGACGGAGCTGGTCGATGATTTCTGACCCTGCAGGTCCAGCCTGCTTCCCTGCTAGAGGCAGGCAGATGGGGCAAGTCAGGGCTCGATTTGCTGGTCCCCGTGGCTGGAGAACTGTGGGTGTGGGGCCACTGGGAGAAGACGCTACATGGCACCAAGTGAGATAGGTAAAAAAGGTCCTCCTTGAAGTCGCAGTGAAGGCAGTGGGCTTAGCTCTGCGCTGGAGCCCCCTTGGGCCAAGCGACTCGTGCTTTTGGAGCCAGAGGGGGATGTCCTGCAGGAGAGGAGCAGTCAGAGCTTTGCCATAGCGAGGAACTCTGATGGTGGCGAGCTAGAGAGGGTCACTCCGCATACGGGCCTCTGGAAATGCTGGTGGTGGTGCAACCACCTGCCTGGTGTCCCAAGGGCTGTGCCTGCCGACAGCTGGAGGTGTAGGGATGCCTATACTGGTCTGAC